GATAGATAGATAGATAGATAGATAGATAGATAGATAGATAGATAGATAGATAGATAGATAAATAGATATTCTAACAGCCGCCACCGCTCCACTTCACAACCTTGTCTGATGATGAGTGAACATGAAATACACTCAGGGGATCAAACAGAACAGATGTTTTTTAGTTTCCACCTCTGTCAAACCAGATAAAAGCTTCTGTCATTACAGAGACGGAGGGATAGAGAAGGGGAGAAGAGAGGAGGAGAAGAGCTCACCTCCGTCTCTAGACAGAAACTTCTCCACATCACTCCCAGCTCTCACGCTGTTTTTAATATGAATTTATTCAACTCAGCTCTGGGGAAAAACATCACGTTCGTCCACCCGGCGTATTTCATAATCAGTGGGTTCTCTGGCATCCCAAATATAAAACACTACTACGTCTTTCTGTTTTTTGTTTATATCGTTTCAGTGCTGGGAAATGCCGCCGTCATGGCCGTCATCTGTTTGGATCACAATCTGAGAACTCCAAAGTACATTGCAGTGTTTAACCTGGCCTTCGTGGACCTGTTTGGTAACTCTGCTCTGGTGCCGAAGGTCCTGGACGTCTTCCTGTTCAACCATCACCACATCCCGTACAACGACTGCCTGACCTTTCTGTTCTTCTGCTACACCTGCCTCTCCATGCAGTCCTTCAACCTGGTGGCTCTCTCCTACGACAGACTCATAGCGATCAGTTTCCCGCTGCACTACCAAGTGAAAATCACCCACAGGTTCATGCTGTATTTGATCGCCTCTTTCTGGGCCTTTGTTATCGTCGCTGTGTTGATTGCAGTCGGCCTCATCACGAGACTCTCCTTCTGTGAGTCTGTGGTGGTTAACAGTTATTTCTGTGACCACGGGCAGATCTACCGGCTGTCGTGCAACGACCATTACCCTAATTATGTCCTCAGTTGTTTGTACCCGGTTCTTATTTTCTGGCTGCCGCTCGTTTTCATCTTGATGGGTTACTTGTACATCGGCTGCACTTTGGCTAAAGTGGCCACAGCTCATCAAAGTCTCAAGGCGTTTAAGACGTGTATCGGTCATCTGTCACTGGTGGCAGTGTACTTCATCCCTCTGTTAATCGTTTTCACCCTGATGGAGAAGATTGAACCAAATGCCAGGATCATAAACCTGTCTCTGACCTCCGTCTTCCCTCCCATGTTGAACCCCATAGTTTACGTTCTGCAGACACAGGAAATCAGAGAATCTTTGAAGAAGCTGTTAAACATCCGAGGGAAATTAAAAAAAATAACAGCTATGTGACCATTTAGTCCTGGAATATATTATGAAGTCTCTTTGAGTG